TAAAGCCAATTCAAAGAATATCTTGCTCCACGCTACGTCAGCTCATCCACAAGCCGTTAAACGTGCACTTATTAACAACATGCTGAGAACAGCAACGAGTATGTGCACAGGCGAAGCTGAACGTCAAGAATCACGTCGCCTAGCTTGTGAGATAGCTGCTATGAACGGTTATACGGTACCACAACGCACTGGAGGACAGCGCTCTAATATGCGAGAAGGCCCGCGTCCAAACAAACTACCGCTATGCCTTCCTTTTATCTCCGATACGATAAGCACTGCAATACAACGGAGCATTGTTAGAGCACAGTTGCAAGATGTTGTTCAGTTGGTTAACATCCCCAGCTGCAACATCAAGCAGCAACTGGTTCGAAACAGGCTGTACGATAAACAGTGCATATCTAGAGATTGTGTTATTTGTCCACACGGCAGACTCGGTGATTGCGCTAAATCGGGTGTGATCTACCAAATAGAATGTCTGGCGTGTGGACGCACATATATCGGAGAGACTGGAAGGCCGCTAGGTATACGAATAAACGAGCACCTAGCTGGTATGAGACGTGATAGGCTCACGACAGCGCTTGGAAGGCATGACGGCAACAACTTTGAAATCAAGTGTACGATATTGGCGCAGGAGACGGAAATTTCGGCAAGGAAGGCGTTAGAGGCGTTTTGGATTTCAGTCAGAAATCCTAGGATGAACAGCCGAGATGAGTGTCCGTCAGTGACAAATGACCTTCTGCCATACATACCGTATTGCGAGCTCTAAGTAGCAGTGATACGCGCGTCTCCTCACTTCTAGACGTGTCAGGAGATGCTGTAGTAAGTCTCATTCTCTACTAACTACTAGCCGCATATGATTGCGGATATACGGTGGAAGCTTGGTGAGTGCTTCGTGTTGTGTGGGCTTTCGGGTTGAGTTCCGAACACGCCATCGGAACTGCTAGGGTTGGTTGGGCGCTTAGTAAGGTAGTGTTCATTTCCTAACCTCGAAACGCGTTTAGGCCTCTGAAGAAGACGACCAAGTCGAAACGTTAGGCCGTAAAATAAAGATTTCCACCTAAAAACCTCGAGTGGCATAGCAATATAAACAGAATAAACAACGATGCCGAGGTTACAACAAGAGAGAACTTGGAGAATTATGGATAGCCTTGAAAGAGCAGCCTTGGCGTCTGGAGTTCTTCTACTTCGGACGATATATCGACGACATTTTCATTGTCGGAAGATCACGGACTGCATTACGACAGACATTTGGAAAGCTCAATGGAATGTGCCAGTCAATAAAGTTGACAGCCGAACGCCCTTCCCCGGATGGTTTCCTCCCGTTTCTGAATACCAAAGTCAAGATTTCGGAAGGTCAGATCAACACCATATGGTATAAGAAGTTGGCATCCCAGAACATCCTCATTCACGCGAGAAGTTGCCACATGGAAGTGAACGTAGTCCGCCATATGGTAAAGACATCAAACGAGCTGACCTCCACGAATCACGAACAAATGGAGAGAGAAGTGAAGAACATCTTGCGGCAAAACGGATATAGAAATCGGCAGCTCAAATGCTGGAGGCCTTACCGATCACCTTATGGTACTCCACTTGTGTTACCTTTCATCAGCGACTCGTTCGCAATTGATGTTAATCGCGTCGTGAAACGATCACGGCTTCCTATAAGCCTGGTATTTACCACCTCTCAATTTACGACGACTTTTAACATCATCGCGTCCATATGAGAGTCGATGTGAAAGAGCTAACTGTGTGATTCTGTGGAGAACATAAGGTGTGTCAAGAAAAATGTGTGGTGTACAAAGTAGTGTGCCTTTCGTGTCACGAGTTTTACATAGGAGAAACATCGAGGCCACTACACAAGAGAATGGAGGAGCACTTGAGAGCTTTGCGAGTCCGCAGAGCTACCCAGAGAACCCATTCTCGAGACACACTAAGGCACGCTCAAGAAAGACCGCCGGAACTTCGCATCTCCATTCTACACAGAAATGTGGTGGATCCAGTTGAAAGGAAGATCAGGGAGGCAATGGAAATAAAGCAACAAGAACCACCCATCAACAGCAAGGAGGAGATGAAAGTGGCAATGGGATTGATATCAATATAAGACCTGCACAATGGAGAAATCACCACTGTCCCGCCCGTACACTTATAAATAGTCCCAAACCTACCACTTTTATCTATCTATACTGCCAAGTAGAGAGGCTTGACGGAGTTTGTGCTCCTTCTCCCTTCTACACAGTGTGGGTTGTTGCTATGTTCACTCTATTAGTGCTGTAACATTGTAAGGGTTCTGTAATTTAAGACGAGTGACCTGAAGAAGGGCTTATGCCCGAAACGTTGTCATGTAATAAAGATTCAATGATTCAAGGAAGAGCTTAGCCGTTATACTCACTACAACAAGTTTTTTTTCTGCTTTTCTTGGTTCACTATGGAGTTAATTACATTCAGTCATTTTAATTTGACCCTACAGTCCACCATATCGCGGGGCGCGCCTTCAGGCCCTCACAACTTAACAAAATTACAATGATTTCATAGAAAAAATGTGGTCCTGAAATCTAAACAAAATCTTCTTTTGCAACCAACCTTCACAGCAGCTGGAAGAAGTCCCAGTGGTGACTCATCATAAACAGCGCCACCTTGTCCATAACCATATGGAGAACCGTAATCGTATCCAAGCGGAGCCTCTGATCCAGGGACACCGGACTGATGTGAATTATCACGTGGAATAGCAAAAGTCACGACGACTGACATACCGTCAATAACGAAATTGTTTTCCCTGAATACATACGTGCTATCATGATGTCTGGCTAAACAAAACATTCTTTAGATATTGTGGGGATTTAGATTCTCGACTTTCGAGAGAGAGAGTCTACTTCCCAGAGCAGGTAGGAGGTCACGTGGCACGGCCAGGTGTCGTGCACTATGTTCTTCTGTGCTAAGGTTCCCTAATAGGGGAGGGAATTACCGAGGCGAGCACTAAATTGGAGGAAGGGCGCTAAAGGCGTAAATTAGTCACGGTGTCGTGCCAGAAGAGTGGAAATGAAAACTTCGGTCTAACCATAAGTCTAAACGGAGAACAAAACTGGGTCAGTGAGCCAGTCTGAAGGATGGCGCTTCTATTTGGGTGACATCAAATACTAGTTCGCTGCGGAAGAAGGGGCATGCCAGGCGGTATGAGTGTGCAGCAGCGTTCTCTGTCAGTTGTAGAAGGGGGTATGCGACGACCAGTAGAAAACGAGTAGTACGGACGATATGATAGAGTTGTCAGTTGCTTGCTGCAAAAACTGGTGGAGAACGAGTTTGGCACCGCGCCAAAACCATCTCGCTTAACAAGTCCCTTCGTCCGCTGCAAAGTAGACCTTTTTTGCACAAGGTCCAGATGCCACCACGTTACTAAAGGATAAATGGTCGCGCTAAGTTCCATCCAGAATACTAGTGGTTTACTGAACGCGATGTGGTTTACGCAATGACTAGAGTGGGGAAGGAGGAGGGGGGGGGGCGTTGCTGGAGTGGGTCGGCGCCGATAAGAAAGTTCACCCCCGACCGCGCTTGCAGTAGGCGTGCCACCTGCATCACTCCCGCTTCTCAAGCTTATCAGCACTGAAAAAGGAACGGGGCCTACAACTTTTGCTCAAACAAACGAACACGTACTTAACCATTTTTTCAGCGATTTCCGCGTGCGTGAATGTAACGAAAGCAAAACCACGGAAAGGTCGTGGAATTTGGACACCGGACACCTGAAAGGGTAACAAGTAGCTTAATAAATCGTAGAAAACGTTATACCCAATCGCCCAGCACCCTTACCGATGCAGATTCCTTGAAAGTTTTAGCTTGTTTGTTGAAGAAATTCCGCAATGTCTCTTCCGTGACTTTCTCTGTGAGGCGACCGACAAATATTTTATTGATTACAGGTCTTCGTGGGACAATGCGCTTTCCACTGGCATCGACACGCTGAAACAGTAGTACTTTACTAACACGAAGGACTGTAACCACTACATCCAGTTGAAATTACGTGACTTCGAAATTGCCTATCGACTACTAACCTCAGCAACGGCGCTAACCATTTTGGGATTGGGAGGGAAGTAAGCAGCAGATAGCATGGGCAGTGCTCAGTTTCCGTAACCAAGGCAAATAGCAAAGAGCAGACAAGGAAAGTCGCACCGGCCTAGTCTTTCAGAACAGATATAGTTGCACTGCCCCGTGTCCTCCACATTCCCAAAACTGGCTGGCACCAGAACTTTTTTGTATCCAAAACAAGCCATGAAACACTTACTTTCGGTTCAGGGACACGAATTTCACAGCGTCTTCCATCGATTATGTGATCGACAGTCGCCAATACTTTGTCCTCCTCTTCCACGGTGCTCATTTGCACAAATCCGAATCCTTTGGAAGAGCCGTCTGCATTCTTTTTGATCTAAGAAAAAAAGAATCAGGGAATACATCAACTTTGAAGACACCGTACGGAATCGCCAGATGGGTGGAGCCAGGAGAAGACGTCATGAACGAGCCCCTCGTACCCTAATCTTTATCATTCTGGAAGGCGGAAAGGAAAGACATGCTGATGACAACGTTGTATGAGTCCACCCACAAATCCGTACCGTATCTTTGATAAGGTTTTATATAGCTCACTAATGCACAATATTTGTTACCTCCAAAACTGTGCATTCAGGCAGTCATGGTTGTTAACATTCAGCAGCAGGAACAATATTCATGCAAGAGGCTCACTTTACGACATCCCAAGGAGATCAGTGTGACAAAAAGGGGTATAAATCTAGCCAATACTCCACAAAACCATTGCTAGTGGTCAGAGTTCAAGTCTCTCGGTCAAGTTTACGAATACGGAAAATCCGCGATTCGAGAAACTCAATCACACGGAGCAACAGATTAAATGACTTTGCCCGTTTGCTAATAGTGGATTCTCCTGAATATCCAGCTCTTTCAGATAACTGATTCCGCGGAGGGTGCAATAAACCAATTTCTGTATCATTCTTAGTTACTGAGTCTCTCTAATCGCGGACCTTTACATTCGCATCCCTTCAAAGCTACCTGGCCTTCGCCCTCTATTGGTTAACCCCTCCCTTTTCCTGAGAAAAGGGTTGAAAATAACCGACACCCGCTGCAGGACCACCGGGGGATTATCGCGTTGCAACTGAATAGGGAAGACAGTTTCTGCGGTGACAATTCCTTCAAATAACCTATAATGACCCCAGAAAAAAAACCCTCACAAATTTGGTGATCGGTTTGAAAGCACAGTACACCATTACCTGAGATGTGGGTCTTTTTCAGGTACAAGGTGAGATGCACAGCTGTAGGATTTAGCCACTTTCTGTGAAGCCGCGGCGCCAACTTATTATGGATTCCCGAAAATGAAACAATCTTTGCGATTACGCACTGGATCACTTGGTCCTGCAAAACGACTGACACGGAGTTTCTCTTCAAGCTTACAGCTTCCTTACCATTTACAAGAGACGAAAGTGGCGCTTATGCAGCTGTGGACCGGTCCATCTTTTGGAAGGGACCCATCCCATCCTTCCCCTGCACAAAGAATTCTATCCAACCTATCAATCCCACATGATGTTCACACAAATCAAATCAAGCTTCGTTTTGTACTCTTGGGATCATTCAATACCCAAGACACACAGAGACAAATCACAAAACACACACAGAACTCAGTCATAAATTCTCACGCACCTCTGCGAATGCGACGGTACCAAATGTCTCAAAGTACTTCTTGAAATCTTCACAAGTAGTCTTGAAATTCACGCCGAGCACGATGAGATCAACAGGACGGCGCGGCGTCGCTGGCTGGTTCAACGAATCCCAATCGTCGGCAGCACGTTTGCGACCGACTCGGCCTTCACCGTCACTGTCCGAATCTCCATCATCGTAACCAATCTTGCGACGTTTCACACTTACATCCGATCCTAGACACACCTTTCTCGCCTCACGCACTACATACATTGAACATAATAAGATCGTGGTAAAATCACCACTCAAAACTTTCTCTTTTATCACTACAATTTGCAATAAATTCTATAGAAATACAGAAACAGCTCAACGCTAACAGCTCATCTGATGATGGAACCAGCGACAAAAATGGTGTCTAAAAGCCGCAAAGCAAGCAGTGGTGTGTTCAGATGTTATCCAGAAACAATGACAGGAAGTATCTCACTCAGCAAAACGCGAGGACCCCAAAGCGTGGCATACCTTTGTCCAGGGGTCGGTTCTATCAGGGAAAACGGGAGCAAGTGGTGAAATTAGGATGCGGACATAGAAATGCAGAAAAACTTCAATTATCCGGGGATTTGACTAGATAATCGTTAGATGCCTTCGCTGATGGGCATGGAGGGTTCGAGGAAGAGTTTCCCTGTCTGGCCGTTCGAATTTGAGTGTTAGCGAAACGGAGAAACCTGATTTATCTCTCACGGGATAATGTCTTGCCTTGGATTCATATGAGTTTCGCTGCTCCAACCAATAAATAATGCATAGAAGATTTTGCCGAGCATCTCCGTATAATACGATGCGCGCGACGACACAAAAAACCATGATTGTGTCATCCCTATCCCCAAATATCCTGTCTTTACTGTAAGCAAAACAGCATAGCGCTTGTGTGTCATAGTCCGCTATCCATACCAAATGATTTTATCACTAAGCCTCGGAAGAGGGTAAGCGCCCTCGGGGATGGAGCGCGGTAGTCAAAGTCATTGTCGCTTAAAGGAGCTGGGAAGCCCGCGCCAGAACATCTCTGAATACAACTACAAGGCCGGGACCTCTGCTACACAGTGGAAAGGTAACAATACATGCACGTAAGGCATGCATATTTTGGACCAAGAGCGAACAGTTTCAATGGTCGATACACAAGAGCAAGTGATTTCAGAGGCCCAGGACTAGAGAGGGTTGAGTGCCTTATAATGCGTGGTACTAAAGAACCTGAGCTGAGCTTCCGAGCTGGCCATCAAAAAGTCAAGCACGGCGCTGTATCTCCCAGCCCAGGTGTGTGGCGGAAAAATAAATAGTATATTAACATCCTATGCAGCATGGGTAACGTACCAATTAGTTAACTATTGAAGTTTAATGCTTTTCTGAGGCTGTAAATTTATGAATGGTAAGGATGGCATCATGTAATGAAACCTCGATCTGGGCGCGCGTTCGGTGTGATCACTATAAACACTTTGTCATCCCAACCATCTGAAGGCGGCAAAAGTTTTGTTCCAGTAGCGTCAACCCTGAAACTGGAATCCTTCACCAAAAACTCGGCAGTGGCAATAGTAAAAAAAAATGGAAAAAAAACGTACGCGACAGCTCTTAGAGCTCCAGTTTTTGGGTTTTTATACTTCAATCCAGTTGCACCGGGGTATGAAGCTTGAAGTGTAGCCATAAATAAACTGTTGTCCAGAGCGGTTGGGATTTCCAGTGGATCTCCTTAAATAATTTCAATACTGTCCATGTAGAAGTCTATGTGCGAGTAAGAAAGCGTTCACACTTCGTGATGATGCGCGTCAACGCGCTACAAATGCAACAGCGCTCCAATGCTACACACACGAGAACTACCGCAGTCGGGAATTGATCGCGTCGGCCGCTTGTGCATTGAGAGTGTGTGGCGGAACAGTAGGGAACGCGCTCCCTAATGATGGAGTATGACATCGATTAAAACTGGCCGCTAGGCCGCTGGAGAGAGCATAGCAGAATGGGATAGTACCAAATCGAAGAAAGCGCCTGCCGTCTTGTTGCCCTCCCATAGGAGCTGGTCGTTGTGGGAGTGTACGGAATGAGAGGGTAGCAGACTGAGTGGTTAAGTAACGCGTACCATTTTGGTTTGTACCCTCAAAACGATCGGCGCCGATACATACCCGCCTAGCATCCAAGGGTTGTGCGATGCGCGTCGTAACGCGTGAACGCGCGTTATCGTGAAGTGTGAACGCTGCGCTAGCTGTTTCAGTTTTCAACGCATTCGATTCCAGTTGACAATTTAAAGCACCGACATGTATACGATATATGAAGAATTAATTTTTCATGATTGAATAATAAAAGTAATGGATGGGTGAATAAAGGCTGTATAGTAAACTTACCATTACTGTCGGATACAACGACAAATTCGGAATGTTTTACACCATTTCCATCGTACTCTATGTCCATCTTCCCTCCATCATTTTTGATAGCATTTTTTCCTCCGGGAGATTTAGCTGATTTACTCATGTCTGCAATTACTGTTGTGAAAAAGACTGATCAAGAGCTTAAGAGTACGTGACGGAAGCGAAGAAGATCGCGAAGTTCACACATACAGAAGTTCCAGAAGCGAACATACATATGTACACGAAAACTGATGTTAGGCTCAAACAACAGCTGAATCTTTGGATAAAGCACAGCGATCGGCTGACGGAGTTGGGTTTGGAGGTTTTGCTAGTTCCTAGTAGAGTTTCTGGCTGTTCTTTCATACATTAACGAACATTACACACTTGTAAAGTATGAAATGGCTTAAGCTTCAATATGTATACTGTTTTTAGGCGTCCTCTTCTTAGTAAGCCACTATATATTCCAGAAACCGGACTCCAGACAGGCCACTCCAGACATTTATGAACTACAAACCGCAAACAACGAACACCTTCCATTAAGCTGCGTTCACACTTTAAGCCAGCGTATGCCAGTGTGAGCGACTAGTAATAGTAAAGTATAGATATCGATCTAGCGAACGCCAGCGCTAGGCAGATTTCGGTCGAGTCCGTAAGACCACCCCGCCCCTTTTTTTTAGGGGTTCGGTACGACGACCCACCCCCCCCCTTCCTCATCCTATCTACCAATTCTTCGATTTTCCCCAGTTTCTTACCACTTTCCCCGGAATTTCCTACCTTCACCCAAAAACTTTGGTTCGACCGGGGGGGGGGGGTTCGGAGAGTACATACACATGAGCAGGAAAAACTGCGAAAAGTCAGCAACCTCTCGTAGAAGGCCGGAAGGGAAACACGACCCCTCCCCTTTCAAAACGTCGCTGGAACAAGATGAAATCAACTATCAAAAAAATTTTCTCACACCACGTACGACCCTCCCCCGTTAGAGCATCCCCAACAACGATGTGCCCTGCGTCAGCCTAAGCAAGCCACATGCCACATAAGAAACGGAATGGAGAGATGGCGTGCGAATGAAGCTCGTACCATTACGTATCCCAACAACAGTTTCTGGAGCCTTGCGAAAGACCTGGAATTTTGATAAGTAGTGGCAACGAGGGAAAAAACAGAGGGCAAGGCGCAGAAGGAAGACAAGAGAAAAAGCGACGTCACCTGTAGGAGCTTGCAGCTGGCGCTCTGGCTCTAAACATCGAATATCGATGCCACATTGCACTGGCGCTCTCGTGGCGCAGTTACTAGGCACAGCCTGCATCTCTACCCTGAGACTAGAGACCAGGACGGAGCGCTCTTGCTACTTGCAGGGTATGCTCAGTTCTGCTCACTTTTATCGCGTACACCAGCGCGGGCTAGGCCTGCTAGGCAGCCAAGGAGCCTAACGATGCATAAGCTGTCCACTTTTCTTTCTCCATCTGACTCATCATTTGGGAGAAGAAAGATGACTTCCAGCCAGTCACTGCATCTTCCGTTAGGCCACTGGAACTCAACATATCGGCGACAAATGAAGGACAAGGAATCACAGGAAACAATACGAAAAAGGGAGACAGGAGGAAAAAGGACGTCGCTCGTACGAGCGTACCGTCGACTGACTGACTGACTCTCAGTAGATTGCTTATCGACGCTATACCACATTGGCCTTGGCACGGCGCAGTTGCCAGGCACAGCCTGCATCTCTAACCCGAGAGCCAGACGGAGTGTCTTGCTGGGTGTATCTCGGATAGTGCGGCTAGCATTGCGCGGTACATTGGCGGTCATCCACCTCCATCGTTCCTCTGCATTGTACCTTCTACTCCGGACAACTCGTCCGCACCACTCGTAGACTTGTAAGACGTCAATCCGCATCGAGAGGTGACAGACCTATGTACAAGCAAACAGACCGAGTAACTGATTTATAAGACAGTTATTTGGCAACTTCAAGATCATTCTGAGTGGTGCGGGTGAGTTTTCCGAAGTAAGAGGTGCAATGCAGAATCACAGTGGTGCGGACAATTACGGCCAATGCACCCCCAACCACTTATGCCACCCTGACCATCCGATTGCCTGCTGCTTCTCGAATCTACTCCCATATATTGCGCACAATAGTGGGAGCTGGGGCTCGCTCACTAGTCATATGGGACCCGATTTTTCATAGATCGTTTACTTGTTTTTTTCCCATCTCTATTAGATAGGAAAACAGCTGACTGGAACCTTTCAGTTGCATTTATTATTAGACCCTTGGAATTTAAGAGATTGTGTAACGAAGGAAGGACAAAGAGAAATAGGGAACAAGATAAAAAAAGTGGAGAAAAAAGAGGTCACCTTCGGCTCCGACTGACTCTCAATATATTGACTATCCGCATTACATTGGCGCTCTCGCAGATGCTAGGCACAGCCCACTAGGACGAGAGGGAGATGGAGCGCTCTAGCTAATGCCAGCCGCACTATGCGACCACCTTCCGCTCTCGCTTCCTGCAGGGTCTGCCCACATTTATTGCGCACATTAGCAGGAAGTAGATCTCCTTAAATAGTACATGGGGCCCAGCTGTTTACCTTCAGATTTTCGTTTTGGAAGCTGAAATGGAATAGGGGTACAGTGCTTAAAACAGCATATGAAGCGGGCACACGGGCAAGAGGATCATGGTTTGCCACTTCGTCGCACGCGGCAGTGGGTGCGACTTTTCCTAAAGTGCACCACGCTTTCGACGGGAGCATCGGATTTCATGTAGACAAGGACATGGTAGACACTTATATCAATGTTTGGTCATACATTGTCCATTCTCG